TGGGGGGTGTGGGCCCAAGCTGCAGCTTGTAATTTACAGTAAAAAGAACCTCATGTAGTTACAGCGGAGTCTGTTTATTCCTGGTCTTTTGGGGTTCGTGAACTGGGCAGAACACTGCAGGATACATATTAAAAAAAAAAAATAGAGCATGTGCATGAGTGTCATGTAAAGGGCCTATAGAGAGCCATGGGTGTCATGAAACAAAGGGCTCTGGGTTTAGGGTCCTGTCCCAGCTCTGTAGGCCACTCCCACTTTTGAGAGCATCTTCCCCTTCTCTTACTAAACAATATTTCCGTCACTGTCCATGTGTCACCGCTCCAGTTCTTTGATTCAGCAATAGAAAGCGAAATTTATATCAAATTTATATCAGTTACTACCTTTCCATCGGCATAATTTAAACATATATATACCCCCAAGGTGTGTGTGTGTGTGTGTGTGTGTGTGTGTGTATAAACCGCAACGACTGTAAAACCGTTAAAAACCGTTATCAGAGTACATGTTAAAAGACAGAGGAAAACCGACAGACTCCAAAATGACAATTAAGCATATATATATGTAAACATATATAAACGGCAAGGACTGTAAAACCGTTAAAAACCGTTATCAGAGTACATGTTAAAAGACAAGAGGAAAACCGACAGACTCCAAAATGACAATTAAGCCAGGTGTGATGACCACAGATGCTGAGACAATGAATAACTTGTTTTAAATTCACCGCGCTTTCTAAAACTTCTAGAAAGCTAAGATTTGAAAGAAACGGATTCATATCATGGCTGACTGCATGAGAAATAATAACTTGACAACATGTTTTTTCTAGGCTGTTTCACGGACTTGGTACTACAGGCGTCACCAGCTGGTGGTAACCCCGCCTCCTGGCAGCCACACTTAAAATACTGCAGAAACACAGGCCCTCCCGCCTCATCTTTTTTCCCATAATTCCTTCCCCACTAGCTACCCATAACCCTGAGGACTTCAAACAGCCCAGGAAACACGCCCAGGAAAGTCACTCTGTCCCCTCAGTTGCTATTGGCCAGCCGTAGTTAGTTCCGGCCTCCAAACTCGGGTTGAGGCGTTTGATTGGCTATGAGCGTGGTCGGGCTCTGACGTCCACTGGGGGGCGTGGCTTGGGCTCAGCTTTCAACCCACGCACGGCAGTACCATGTACCGCGCACTCCGTCTCCTCGCACGCTCGCGTCGCCTCTTCCAGGCTCTGTCCGCCGGTGCTACAGTCCCTGGGGGAGCGGCCCCTCTCCCGCGGGGTGCCCCGAACGTCGCGCGAATGGTGAGGGGGCATCTCGGGCTGGGTTTCTCCGGGGTGACCTTCACGTCAGCGTGTCCCCGGTGTCCCCGCTGGCCGGGCCTCAGCGCCAGCGCGTACGTTCACCTTCCGTCCCGGTCGCTGCCTCCAGCCGTTGCGATGGGGATGCGCGCACCGCTGGGGCTACGGATACCGGCTGGGGAGGCTGGGCGACTGGGCAGATGTGCCGCAGGCCTGCGCTTGCAAAGGCGCTTAGCCCAGGACAGTCTTCTCTGGGCCAGTGCGTGCATGGGCGAGGATGTTGGGATGCAGGTTTAGTAGCAGGGGACGACTTAGGGTGCAGGGATGGATGCAGGAAGTGCGGGAACAGGGACGATGTGGGGAAAGGGGGAGTCCCCTGCTTGCCCAAGTAGCAGGCCCTAGCTGGCGGGACACAGCCCTCCGCTAGTCTAGGGACACCTCATCTCTGGTTCTTTGGCACCGACGTGCACTTCCCTGCTTTCAAATCCCCCGAAGTGGATGAAGCTAGTGTGTCTTCTGAACGGAAAGGCTTTATTTCTTACGAACTTGACTACTTGGCTTGTGAGGTTACATGTGTTTTCTCCCACAACTTTTGTACAACTCTCAACTCCATAAACATGTATTTATGAACATGAGTGCTCCGACGCATGCCGGAGGAGACTGGTTAGGACTGGACTGTAGATGAATCAGTATTTTGTATTCAGAAAGATAACTAAGGAGCTTAAGGGCCCAAGTCCAAGGTATGACATGCTTCATTAAGCCCCTTTGCTCTTTAGAGTGCCTTAGACAGTGTTAAACTGTGAGTGTGCATTTAAAAAAAAGTTTGAGAAGTGACTAGTTAGGAAGACCACCGCTAGGCATATTGTGAGGTGTAATTTCAAGTCCAGTTGCTGCTTTCAGGTAGGTTGTCTTTGTGTCTCAGGTCGTACAGGTAAAACTGAGATAATTACAAGGGTTTATCAAGATTGAACCTGGGAAAACACTGTGTAGTTCTCTGCTCATTAAATACACCCCCTCTAACGTACTTGAAAGGGCCAAGATATTCTTTGGACTTCAAGAAACTTGTATGACATCTCTATACCAGAAGTCACAAAGTCTTGGGGCTGGGGGAGAGGACACCAGTGGAGAGCATTTGCTGCTTTTGCTGAAGACAGGAGTGTGTGATTCTCAGCATGTGTGCCCGGTGGCTCACACCCAGCTCTAACTTCGGCTTTAGGGGAATCCGCAATATACTGGTAATAGTCGTGACACACGTGTGTGCGCACGCACGTGCAAGCACACACACACAAACACACATACCTGCACGAGTGACACATACACAATAACGTAAGTCTTGAAACGAAGCTATAAAGTTCAGGCTGCTTAGAGTTCCTGAAACTCTGTGCTGGTGATTTTAATTCACTTTAAAATCTCTTGAAGACTGTGTTTCTTTGTTTTAATGTATAGTTTAGGGAAACAGGAAAATGGAGCAAATACATCTTGGCAAATGTGAAAAAGTAGCAGTTCCCTGTTCTTAGGGTTTTGTAATGTCAGAAAATACAATCAAGTTACTTTTCTTTTTCCCTGGTTCCAAGGACATTTCTTGCCCTTTAACCCTCTTGTCATTTCCAGCTAGTCTGTTGATTTTGTTCAGAGTTGTTCTCTGGTGTTGAGAAATTCTCATAACCCTGAAAGCCCTGGGTTACCTGTTATTTAAAAGAACACCCCAAAATTCATCTGAAGTGCGTGATATGGAGATGTTGATGAGCTGTTGACTGCCTTCTTCCTGTTTGGGGCCTTGTAAACAAGGTGGTCCATATACTTGGGATTTAGAGGCTGTTGGCAAAGATTAATAAGCAGGAGGCTGTAGAGAGGGCTCGGGGTCAGAGCCCCTGGTGCAGTTTAGGGAAGGAAGGTTTGATTTGCAGTTTGGGGGTGTGGTATAGCATGGTAGGGCCAGCACGGCAGCAGGAGCTTCAGGTAACTGGTCACACTGGGTGTGTAATCCGGAAGCAGAGAGGATGGCTGGCAGGAGCTTCAGCTTGCTTTCTTGCTCTAAAATGATTTCATATTTTATTTTGTAAACTGAAATAGAACTGCATAATTTTCCCCTACCCTTATCTCCCTCCCAAACCCTCCCGTATACCAGCCCCCTTGCTCCATGTCATTATCATTGCTTCTTTTTCTTTAGTAGTTGTGTGTGTGTTAGTTACTTTTCTTTTGTGATACAGCACCATGACCGAAGCAACCTCTGGAACGAAGGGTTTAATTTGGAAGCAGAGAGCAAACTCAAAATGCTATTAGTCTTTGAACTCCTCCAGCAAAGCCACACCTCCTGAGCTTTCCTAAACAGGACCATCATCTGGGGACCAAGCATTCAAATGCCCAAGAATATATGGGGCATCTTGTTCAAACCACCACAAGATATAAATGACTGAATAGACCAGTGACACAGTGTGGTGCTGCTTCTGTGTGCCTGATTTCGGGGCTGAGCCCTTGGTATTCGCTCTCCGCTGTGCTGTGCACAGGCTGGCGCCAGCCACACAGTGGTGCAGAGCATGCTTTAGGTAGGTCTTCCCATCTCAGTTACTCTAATCCAGATGATCTCTGGGGGCAGGCCCAGAGGCTTGTCGAATTGGAGATTCTAGATTCTGTCAACTTGACAGAACATAACACCTAAGTGTCAACATAACACCTAAGGTTAAGGGTCGATATGGAACTAATTTTAGTTTTTAAAATTTAAAGCTGAAGAACATGACTAAAAGGAATCTTATCAAGTAATTTTCTTTTATTCTTAATACTACAGTAAACAATGGAGAGGATAAATTGTTGATATTTAATGATGAGATTTTTAGTAATTGAACACAGAAGGTAATCATAAATATTTAAAACCTGAAACTTAATTTCATAAAGCTGATTTTCCTTGGAAGCCAGCATCCTGGTACTCTCTGAGAAGGTAAAGAAGAGAAGAAGGGCCAGTGTTGTTTCCTACTGCTGCCATTTACTATGTGATGTAAAGTGTATGTTAACATAGATTGCGATACAGATTCTGAACTTGTGCACTTCTTACAGGCTCAGCTGTTGGTTTATAGGCTGGGAGACAGGTTGGGGGATGGTAGTGCCCATGAGCTTGAACCTGGGAGAAATCCCTTTACAATTCTTTAGCAGGACAGGGTGTCTGTCACTCGAGGACTTGGGGCTGCCTAAGAATTGTTGTCTGTTGCTTGACTTCAGGAAGTGATGATAGAAAAGGCCCACGCAGCTTGTGGAGACCGACAGAGCAGAGTGTCGGTCCAGCCCCTTTCCCTTGCTATTTGGGTGATTTGCTGGTTGTTTAATCTTTTAGCGTCTTCTTTACTGTTGACCGCCTCAGGTGCTTGTAAGCTCAAGTGAGGCAATGTAGAAGGAGTATTAAATGCTGCTTCCTCCTGTCCAAAGTTGGTCCCTACAGTCCTGTATGCTTGGGGCCTGGGTAGGTGACACTTCTTTTCTTCATACAGCCTTAAAGCTGTTGCAATATAAAACACTTTTGTGACTATTTCTCTTAGGAGAAAATGACAAATTAACTTTTCCTTGTCAGTTGACTGTGTACTAAAGCAATTACTTCGGGATTAAAAAAATGAAACCATCTAATTATATTTAGTTTATAATGATGCAAGATGCATATTGTTTTATGTGTGCATGTGCGTGCACTTTCCTGTGCAAAGTTCAGAAAATGACATCAGGCATCCTCTATTGCTCTGAATTGGTTAAATCTTGATTAGAAATAGCAACTTAAAAATTTTTGAACACTTTCTGTGTTTATTATCTGTGCAGTATATCAATTGTATAAACTGTCTTTAATGCTTGAATTTATAAATATGGATGTCAAGTTTTTTGAAAGAAAACTGAAAGTGGGGAGTAGGGTGACAAGGTACACTTCTATGTTTTTGTGATACTTATTTTTTTCTCTTCACAGCTGATCAGATTTTGTTTGCTTTCATCAAGGTGAAATAATGCCTTATCCTTGTCTTTAGGCAACCTTCCGTATAGAATACGACACCTTCGGTGAACTGAAGGTCCCAGCGGATAAGTATTATGGTGCCCAGACCGTGAGATCTACAATGAACTTTAAGATTGGTGGTGCGACAGAACGTATGCCAGTAAGTGGCTCAGAAGAAGGCTGGGTTCACACAAACGTATTAATATTTTACAAAATTAAAATGTAAATTTATGAGAAAACTAGCTTTCTAAGTAGGAGTTCTCTTTCATTAAAATGCCAAGAACCTATTAACGTTTTAGAATGCTGTAATTTTCAGCCAAGGCGTTTTGAATACTTTGGACTTTTAGCCATCATAATTAAATGGCTTGCTCATGGACTATAGTAATAGTGTGTGGGTGTGGGATTCTTAGAGTGGCTTACAGGCTGTGGTCAGGGTAGTCCAACAATACCTGTCTCCCAGTGTAAAGACCAGGGATCTGATAGCCATTCCATGCACAACACTGGATGTCTCAGTAGTTCCAGTCTGCTGCCTGAGTTCCAGGGAATCTCTGGAGTTGCTAGTTTTCAGTCTACATTGTAATCCTAAAGAAATAGGTTCTAATAGCCAGTGAAGGGGTGTCTCCGCAACAGGATAGATGAACTTGCCTGTCAGAGTGAGGGCAAGCAGACAAAAAGCAAAGGCTTCCTTGTTGTTGTTTCTCATGCCAGCTAGCAGAAGGAGTGGTGCAGATTTAATTTAGGTTTTCTGACCTCAGATGATCCCGCCAGAAAATCGTACACAGTGTGCCTAGCTCTTTAGATTTTGGTTGATTCCAAAAGTGGTCAGGTTGACAACCAAGATGGGACGTTTGAAGGATGTGTGTGTGTGTGTGTGTGTGTGTGTGTGTGTGTGTGTTTGTGTGTGTGTATTCCGTAGCTGTTAAATATTTTTATTTCAGTACTCAACTTCTTTTTTTAAAGATCCGGTTATCTTTAAATATTATACTTTCTTTTACAGTTTAGTTTCCAGAAGATAGTACATTACACAAACACGTCAGAGTACTATCATCAGGGGCATGTGTGAGTGTTAGTTTGGTACATAATGTAACTAGACAACTCTGACACATTCCATTAAATCTAGATGCCACAAGTAAGATGACTTCACAATGTGTTGCACCAAGGGAGGTAACAACTGGAGTTGTGATATGTCACTGACTGTAGGATACATCCTGATACTCAGGGATGAAGAGTTGGTGAAGTGCATCTTACCATTCAGAGCCCAATGGGGCATAAAGATGGTCAGTGCAGGGAACAGATAGGCCTGGAAGGAGCCAGGCTCCATCTGGTGAGACACTGTGTACTAGTTATCGTCCCAGGATTCTTTTATCCTAAATACTGTTAATTCCACATTTTAACTGGTTTTTAGGCCTCCACACTGAATCCTGAGGAATGTCCAGAATTTTATGATGGCAGCAGACTCTTGAAGAAAACTCTTTGTCAACGTTGCTGATGGTGTCCTTGACAAGGAATTAAACACAGAGTCTGAATACATATTTGAGTGGCCTAAGGTAGTGACTGAGCCCCAGATAGTCTCATATTTCCTCTTCTCGGAACAAGGAAGTGAACTCCAGCTGGCTTTGAGGGAGGGAGCATGGCTGCTGCTCTGGAGACCATGGACAGTGAGCTATCAGACTAGTCACTGAGTTTTGTTATATACAAAAAAGCCATGTCCTTTGAGCTTGGTATGATTAGAACCGAGTGTTTGCACCTAAGCTCCAAAGGAGAGTTAACCCCTAAATCATTGTCGGGACTGTTACATCTAAGCTTCCTGTAAGGGCAGAGAGGTGATGAGACTCAACTTCAAGCTTGAGTATTTTAAGGATAAATATCACGGTCTCCCTTTCCTCCCGTGGTACCTGGTGCTTCTTATTTTGATGCCGTGTAACAGAACTTTCTTTGCTCAGACCCCTTTGATCCCTTTTCATTTTTATGGGTTTGTCAACACTAGACTCAGTCAGCCATCCAGATAGTTGTGTCACTCGGCCTTTGGTGATGATTCAAGTCCCCATCTATTTTCATGTTGAAAACTCTAAGTTTCTAGTTGGGTATAGTTCTCACCTGAAATTCCAGTGCTTTTCTGGTTGTTTTGAGGTCAAGTTTAAAATGATGAGATAGAATATGTAAGGAGGGGGAAGATTGAGTACTATTTATTTTAATACGTACCACATAAATTAACACAATACTTTATAGTATACATCCATGAAGAGCAGTTATTGGTACTGTTTTTATATGAACATTTCTGTATGTGCATGTGTGTTTTGGCTATAGATATATATACATAGATACAAACCTTATTTTTTTTTTCTGTTCTGTTGATTATACACATAAGCAATTTTTCTCTTTTCTAAATTTTTGTGGATCATAGCATTGTTACGAGTTTTACGTCTGCATAAAGTTTTCATGCTTATTATCTAAAATTGCAATTTTTTTTTTCTGGTTAACTCTAGATCCCAGTCATTAAAGCTTTTGGCATCTTGAAGCGAGCTGCTGCTGAAGTAAATGAGGATTATGGTCTTGATCCAAAGATCGCTAGTGCAATAATAAAGGCAGCAGATGAGGTAGGAGCTGATAAGCGTGTTTACACAATGGCGGAAGCCCTGAGAGCTCCACTGTGTTATGATAAGCTCTGCCTGCGGGAGGGGCGCTCTGAAAACTTGGGTTAATGAATTTCAAGGTCGAGTGGCAGCATTATCATTATTACTCAGTGAGGATTTAATGCGGTGTTCAAATCATCTTGCTATGACCTTTCTGGGTCATTTTATGTTTTTTAAGTCTCTGTTGATGTGTATAGTTTTAAGAAAAAACAAGGGATGGTTTTAACTTTGGGTATTTCATCTTACGAATAAATGATTTCTTTTCAAATTAGTTGATTAATTGGTTGTACATCTCGAGAATATAATCTCTTTAGGCACTGTCTTGAGGAAGTGGTCAGAGGTTGAAACATTATGTTTGAAGTGTTGCCTTTACAGTGTTTATGATGATAAAAAGGAAGTGCTCAGGTCGTAACAGCTGTGTGTATAATGCAGTTACCTTAGTTATGTTACCAGTAATAGAAACGAGTTCCTAAAAGTGGCTTAGAACAGAGCCTAAGCTTAGACAGAGGAACATTCTTTAAAATATACTTTATGATTTTAAGTTTCAAAGTTTAGAAAAAGAAAATGGACAGAAAGTGTGTTTTCCTATGTAGCCCCCAACCCCTCAACATTGGTAGTAGAGTGCATAGATGCTGAGGTTCCTTTGTAAACTATGTAATAAAGTCTGGTGTCCCCCTGCCAAGTGTTTTAAGTTGTTTCTTGCTTCCTTGTAGCAGCGGACACAAGCTGATACTGTAAATGCTGGGTAACAGTTGTTAAGATCTGTTCCAGGCTGTTAGATGGACATGCTGAGTACAAGCACAGCTTTTAAAACATTAAAAAAAAAAAAAAAAAAAAACCCTTTTCATCCTGTGAGTAGATGACTCTGGGTGGAGCCCACGGTAACTGAGTCCTTCATAAGCACACACCCGTTGCAGGGGAGATGGAAGCAGTGCTGAGGAGGAGCAAGGGCAGGAGCGCTGGGTCTGGGATGGAAACAGACTTTGCTTTGTGCTCTAGACAGATGACTGCTCCCGTTCATAGACCTGGAAAAGGAGACAGTGACTTAAGTTAATGGAGCTCTCAAATGCATCTTGATCTTCCAAGTTAGTCGTTTTATAGTGAAGTTAAGTATTCACTGTGTTAGGAAGCCTACAATTTAAGAGCTACCACATAAATTGAGACGTTAAAACTCTCAGAGGCGGCAGTGAGTAAAGTGTAGGGTTAAAGAAAGGCTCCTGCTTCACAAGCCCCAAAACCCAAGTTTGATTTACAGCATTCACGTAAAGGTGGAAAGAGCTCCTAACTGTACAAAGTTGTCCTGTGACTTAAACACATGCGCGCACACACACACACACACACACACACGCGTGCACACACACACACGCACATATACACACACGCACACACACCTGTGCACAAAATAACTAATAAATTTAAAAGAGAAATCTGACCGAAATTGGAGCAGTTCTGGGCAGTGTTTCCCATTTGGCCATTGCTGCTTGTTGGGCATCTGTGCCTGAAGTAGCTCTTAGAAGGCACACATTATTGTGCCCCTGGTTCATTTTCCTGCTGACTGGCAGTAACATCTGTTGGATGTGCCTGCTGAGCAGCAGCAATAAATGTGTGTGAAGACATCACCCTAGCAACCTCACAGGTAGGCAGCAGAGGAAAACAGGAAAAAGGGCTTTCATTCAGTTTTCATTTGAGGCCAGTAAATTGTCACCATTCAGAATATATAAAGTTTCTTGTTCAAAGTAACTATAATTAGAAAACATGATGCCACAGATATTTAGGATTTTGCCACAGCTGTCTTTAACTGTCTTGAAGCTATTAGTAGGCCACTTAGCATATGAAACAACCAACAACCAACTATCTTTAAAATAGTTCTGTAAGCAGAGCTTTACTCAGTCATGGTAATTTTAAATAGCTAAATAAATGCCTAGTTTTCCTCATTTTAAACAGACTTAACTGTGCCTGTTCTTCTTCCTACAGGTAGCTGAAGGTAAACTAAATGATCACTTTCCTCTGGTGGTGTGGCAGACTGGATCAGGAACCCAGACAAACATGAATGTAAATGAGGTCATTAGCAATAGAGCCATTGAAATTTTAGGAGGTGAACTCGGCAGCAAGAAGCCTGTGCACCCCAATGACCATGTTAATAAGAGCCAGGTGGGTGCTTGCTCTCTCTGCATTATAGGGACACACTGACAAGCGTGTCAGAGACGGTCCTCTTAAGACAAGCATGGAGAGTTTGTCCAGCTTTTGTTCTTCACTAGAGAAGACTTAAGTTTTTTCTTCCTGGAATCATGGCTGTTTCAAACTTGATAAGACAGTCACTGTTACGGCATCTTGGTTTAGGGTGTGTATGTATTTTTATTGATTCAGTTATTTAAAATATCCTTTATTTTAAAATAGGTTTGTAAAGATAATCCAATCTTCTTTATTCTTGACCACCCTCCTGTAATGCTAATGCCTTTATACTTGGCTTCAGTTACTGGGACTCAGAAGTTGCTGTGGGCACAGTACTCTTGAACAGGCTTCTTTTACAATTTCCCAAGTTCTCCACTGAGCTTTCACTTTTAAGTTTAGGTTTCCAAGAGAGTGTTCAGGTTGTGGATATATAGTCTGTAACGGTCACAGTGCCTTCACTTGGTGTGTAGATGGAGGCTGTGAGCTTTTAGGGGCACTGTCCCACAAGTGACAGGCCCTTCTCATTGCAGCCTGACTTACACGGATGTTACACTGTTTGTAAAGAGCTGCTGCTAGGTGTCAGCACCATTATGTTTGCCATCATGTCATATTTGTCACATTTTGCCCCATTCCTGGCATCACATCTGGAGCATCAGTCTAGAGGAGAGGTGGACTTTTCTGGGTGTGTGTTAGATTCACTGCAGAAGTTATCAGAGGTACCTTGAGACTGGAAATAATCTCTACTTAAAAAGGAGAGAGTTTGTCAGGGGATCTGACTATTGACTTATTGTTGAGTATTTTGTTGTTTTGTTTTATGGTGTCCTTTTAGTTGTCAGCCGTGCTGGGCATAGAATCCAAGACCTCAGATACCAGGTGGCTGTTCAACCACTGAGCCCACTGCTGTGGCTTTCTTTCTTTCTTTCTTTCTTTCTTTCTTTCTTTCTTTCTTTCTT